CGCTCGCCGCCGCCGCCGCCACTCCGGTGCTTGTGTTTTTTGTGCTCCCGATGGCGCGGTGGCTGCTCGCTGGCGCTCCCAGTCCCGGCCGCCGCCGTCGTCCCCGCCGCCTCCTTCTCTCCGCGGTGCTTTTTAGACGAGCCCATGGCGGCAAGTCTACGGGAGCGGGTGGCCGACGAGCCCCGACGGCGCAAAATGGAAACACTTCCGGGTCGTGCGGCGGACGCTGTTTTGTTGCCGGAAACCAAGAGCGGCGACTTCCGTCGTATACTAGGAAGCCTACCCCCAAAGGCTCACGGGTAAGGCCGAGTCGGAACCCAGCCTTCGCCACTTCCCTGGGCCGGATGATTATCTGCGCATGCGCCCCAGTGGGTACACGGTAGTAGGCTGCTTTGGCTGCTGGAGGCTCCGACTCCGTTGTAAGGACCTTGAATCCTTTGTACACGCGCTTCCTAGGGTGAGGGGCGAGAGGGTCCTTCCTTGCCTTCCTCTTGCACGGTGTGTCCTTTGCTCTGAAGGACGGCTCCCTCCTCTCCACTGAGCAGCCTTCTATTAGGCTACATGGAGTATTAGACAACGTATGTTTTCCTCTTTCGCCCAGAGCCCCATAACCAACATTGTTAACAAACGGTTTCCCTGTTTTTTTGTTTTCTTTTGTTTCGTTGTTGTTGTTTTTTTTTGTCGGTCGTGGGGCTTGAACTCTGGGCCTGGGCGCTGTCCCTCAGCTCTTCAGCTCAAGGCGAGCGCTCTACCACTTGAGCTACAGCGCCACTTCCGATTTTCTGGTGGTTTATTGGAGATAGGAGTCTCACGGTCTTTCCTGCCTGGGCTGGCTTTGAACTGCGATCCTCAGATCTCAGTCTCCTGAGTAGCTAGGATTACAGGTGTGAGCCACCAGCGCCCGGCTTGTGTTTGTTTTTTTTTGCCAGTCCTAGGGCTTGAACTCGGGGCCTGGGCTCTGTCTGTGAACCTGTCTGTGCTCAAGACTAGCACGCTGCCACTTGAGCCACAGCAGCCACTTCGGTTTTTTCTGTGTACATGGTACTGAGGAATCAAACCCAGAGCTTCATGCATGCTAGGCAAGCACTCTACCACTGAGCCCCTCTACCCACTCTTAATCAGTATGGTTCTAAAGTCCTAGCTAGAGCAATAAGGCAGGCAAAAGGAAAGGAATTTAAGTAAAGAAGAGATTAGATTATCCTTTATTTGCTCATGATAGTGTTTCTGAACTTAACAGATCTTTCAGACTCCAAACAGCTTCCTGGAATCATGGGTTTATTTGTCCAGGCTGGCTTCAGATGGCAATCCTCAGATCTCAGCATCCGGAATAGCTAGGACTCTAGGTGTAATCCACCAGCACCCGGCTAGCCATTGCTTTCCAAGATATCCCAGCCCTCTGGAGCAGAAACAGGATGTGTGTGCTGGGTGGTGGGCAACCAGAGCTCCTGGTTATGTGAGTACAGGTAAGCCTGCTGCCACTCCTAATCCCAACCTATAGCTTCCCCTTCCCCCAGAAATCGTACGCGGTATCTTCCAAAAAAGCCTTTAATATTTATCTCGAGGGTTTCTCTGGGACCAGGCATGGGGAAGAGTATCTGCCCGACTGAGCATCCATGGCTTCTGTTCTTGGGGGGCTCTGAGAAGAGGGCTTCATTCTTATCCCTACTGACCGATGGCTCCTTAAAGACAGATAGAAGTTAATGGGTTCCATAGGTCTCCACCCTATGCCAAGATGGCCATTGATGACTGTGAGTCCAGATCCAACTCCTGTGTAACTCTGGGCAAATGATTCCCCTTCTTTTGAGTTTCTTTATTGTGAAGTTGGCCTTGTAATCCCTGCTTTGTATACCTGGGGTGGCTAATGGGGCACTGGCCTTCATATGAGGTGCTCAGATGGCTACAGAGTCCCAGATTAGCTCTGACAGTTAGGGATTCCTGTGTCTTTAAACAAGGTCCTGGCCTTCAGTTTCTCGGGTTCTTCATTGGAAAATGAGAACAAGGACTAACAATGTGGCTCATGTGGTAAAGCACGTGCTTAGCAAGAGAGGACTCTGAGTTCAAATCCCAGTACCACCCAAAAAAATTCAACACAATTGTTTGGAGTCTTTTCTTTTTGTTAGTCGTGGAGCTTGAACTTTGGGCCTGGGCGCTGTCCCTCAGCTCTTTAGCTCAAGGCGAACACCCTACCGCTTGAGCCACAGCACCACTTCAGTTTTCTGGTGGTTAATTGGAGATAGAGTCTCATGGACTTTCCTGCCTGGGCTGGCTTTGAACCATGATCGACCAGATCTCAGCCTCCTGAGTAGCTAGGATTACAGGCGTGAGCCACCAGCGCGCGGCTGTCTGGAGTCTTTAACTCCCATTTCCTGTATGGAGAGCAGGAAATGTTTCTATTTCTCCTTACTTTAATCCTGTTATACTAAACTTGAAGAGGAGGAAGAGGAGTTAGGAGGGAGAGGAAGGGGGAACAGTAGCCCTGGCCCACGTTCTAGGGTGACATGGAGGAGACCCTCCAGAGCCCAGAGGCTAGCCTTGTCTTCCCTCCCCACGACAGCTAGCTAGAGCCAGTCCCTTGGCCAGCCAGTGGCCTCACCTGGACTTCCGGGAGGTGCCCTCTTTGTGCCCGTGCCCCTTTCCTGCCTCAGCCAGCAGCAGCTCCTCATCTACACCCAGGGCTGACAGCACCTGGGAGAAGCGCCGGGTGACAGTGAGCCGAGCGTTGGCCTGAGGAAAAAGAAGAGGGGTTCCCGCTCTTCCCGGGGCTGCTGAAGCTCTGATGACTAAGGGGCCTCAGGGCTTCCAGGGGCGCTGTCTGCTTGCACCATTGCGATCCCTCACCTGCATGGCCTGCTGGAATAGGAAGGGTCGGGCCTGCACCCGGTGCCGGATGCCTTGCAGCTCAGTCTGGTACTCAACAAAGCGCTGTCGCTCCTGGCGCCTGTGGGAGAGACGAGACTGAGTGGCTAACAGGCCACAACCCATATCCAGGCCAGCGCCTGCCAAACCTAACTGATCATTAAAAAATGTGAAGCCAGCCCTCATGCCGGTAATCCTAGCTACTCTAGAAGCTAAGATCTGAGGATTGAGGTTCAAAACCAGCCCAGGCAGGAATGTCCGTGAGACTTTTTATCTCCAAATTAACCACCAGAAAACCAGAAGTGGTGCTGTGGCTCAAATGATAGAATGCTAGCCTTGAGCTGAAGAGCTGAGGGACAGTGCCCAGGCCCCACAAGCCCCACAACTGACAAAAAAAAAAAAGAAAGAAAATGTGAAACAAGGTGCTAGTGGCTCATGCCTGTAATCCTAGCTATTCGGAGGCTGAGATCAGGATCACAGTTTGAAGCCAGCACAGGCAGCAAAGTGCATGAGACTCCCATCTCCAGTGAACCACCAAAAAGTCAAAAGTGGAGTTGTGGCTCAAGTGGTAGAGCCTTGAGTGAAAAAGCTAAGGGACAGTGCTCAGGCCCCGAGTTCAAGTGTGCCCATGCATGCACACACACACACACACACACCAGCAAAAAAGTCAGAAATAGAGGTATGGCTCAAATGATAGAACACCAGCCTTGGGTGGAGAAAGCCAACCAAGAGCTAGAGGCTCTGAGTGCAATCCCTGGTATGGACACAAAGAACAGAGCAAAAAAGAAACAGAGCTGAGTGCTGGTGGCTCATGCCTGTAGCTACTCGGGAGGCTGGGATCTGAGGAGCTAGCCTGGGCAGAAATGTCTATAAAACTCTTATCTCCAATTAACCACCAAAAAGTCAGAAATGAAGCTGTGCTTCAAGGGGTAAAGTGCCAGCTTTGAGCAAAAAAAAAACTCAGTGACAGCTCCCAGGCCTGGCACAGAAACAAAAAATGGTCAAAATACAGGAAGAAAATAAAACAGCCAGGCTGGGAAGGTGGCTCAGTGGTAGAGTGCTTGCCTCGCATGCATGAGGCCTGGGTTTGATTCCTCAGCACCACATAAGCAGAAAAAGCTCTGTGGCTCAAGTAGTAGAGCGCTAGCCTTGAGGCTAAGAGCTGAGGGACAGCACCCAGGCCTAGAGTTCAGGCCCCATGACTGACGAAAAAGAAGAAGGAGGCGGGGGAGGAGTTGGGGGGAATGGGGAGGAGGAGGAAGAAAAAACACCTAACTCCACCTGACCATGTACAGTAGTCTCCAGGAGAAGTCCCAGCAGGGCTGTTCATGACCCACCTTAAGTACTACTGTAATGTTTTTGTTTATTAATAAACATGTCTGGCTCTAGGAATCAGAAAAATGGGTTTCAAAACTAAGCATGGATAGAACATTTGACCTTGAGCATCCCACAGTTCTTTTGTTGTTGTTGTTGGTCGTGGAGCCTGAACTCTGGGCCTGGGCACTGTCCCTCAGCCCTTCAGCTCAAGGCTAGCACTCTACCACTTGAGCCATGGCGCCACTTCCAGCTTTTTTCTTTTTGCTTATGTGGTGCTGAGGAATCAAACCCAGGGCCTCATGCATGCAAGGCAAGCGCTCTACCATTGAGCCACCTTCCCAGCATCCCATTGTTCTTATTCACTGAGTGACCTTGGACCAACCCTTTCTCCTCAGTCCCCAACATCTTCATCTGTGACTGTGGCCTGGCCAACCTGCCTTGGGATCCTGCAGCGTGACCACCAGGTCCTCCTGGCCCTGGGCTCCTACCTCAGCTCCTCCAGCTTGTGCTGGGTAGTCCCGGAACCTTTGCTCCCTCGGGGTGCATAGGCTGCCAGACAACGGGCCACCTGGTGCTGAACTCGCTGTTCCCGGGCCCTTCGCATCTCAGCCTGCTGGCGCTCCTCCTGCTGCTGCCGCTCCCAGGCCAGCAACAGGCTTCTGGTGGGGAGAGAGAACAAAAAGGAGTAAAATCCATGGGAGGGCCCGGCACCGGTGACTCACGCCTGTAACCCTAGCTACTCAGGAGGCTGAGATCTGAGGATCATGGTTCAAAGCCAGCCCAGGCAGAAAAGTCGTGAGACTCTGATCTCCAATAAGCCACTAGAAAAAAACTGGAAGTGGTGCTGTGGCTCAAGTGGTAGAGAGCCTACCTTGAGCTGAAGGAGCTCAGGGACAGCCTCCAGGCCCAGAATTCAAGCCCCATGATCAACCAAAAAAAAATAAGTCCACGGGAGGGTAAGCCTCAAGGAGGGCTAGGGAGATTGGGGGGGAAAGACTGCAGGAAGAACTGGGGGTCCCAGAGAGTGAAGGGGGTTTATTGTGGAAGTGTGGGCTGAAGGAGGCTGCTTCTAGCACTGTTGCAAAATTCAGCCTTTCTCTTTCCTGCACTGAGCTCCAGTTTTGAACTTTGGCCCAGGCCTCTGAACCCGTGTGGAGCTCAGCATCCTCCCTAGGACTCTGCTTCAATGGTTTGAAGCACAGTTCTACCGATGGATAGACAGACAGATGACTAAAGGAATAGGAAAGAGAGCAAATGCTAAAAGGGTCAACTGAAGGATGAATGGTAGGGACAGTCAAATGGCCAAGAATTAAAGATCTGGAACATTCTAGTGATATACCACTTAAACCATACCTTCAGTCCTTAGACCTGGAACTACTTTCTGCAGATCTCAAGGCAGTTTCTTCTTACCAGATCTTTGTTCAAATGTCACTCCTAACCATACAGACTTTCCCTGAACCCCTCATCAGCTCCACTTCCCGTTTTATTGTGGTTAATTGGAGATAAGAGTCTCACAGACATTTCTGCCCAGGCTGGCTTTGAACTGTGATCCTCAGATCTCAGCTTCAGAAGCTTAGATTACAGGCATGAGCCACCAGTGCATCGCTAGCTACACCTTTTGTTTATTTCTTTATTATTTATATCCGTCTTTTCATAACGTTAGCCTCAGATACTCAGGTTTCTTGTGTTCATTTGCACTGCCAGAAAATCCCCAGCACGTAGAACAGTGTGTAACATATACCAAAATATTTGGTGGATTTACATATAACTGAATCCTGGTTATATAGAAAAATGGCCAGGCAGACAAAGAGATACCAAGCTGGGCGCTGGTGGCTCATGCCTGTAATCCTAGCTACTCAGGAGGCTGAGATCTCTGAGGATCATGGTTCAAAGCCAGCCTGGGCAGGAAAGTCTATGAGACTTTACTGTCTGGGCTGGCTTTGAATCGTGATTCTCAGATCTCAGCCTCCTAAGTAGCTAGGATTACAGGCGTGAACCACCGACTCTCGGCTTGTGAGACTCTTATCTCCAATAAACCACCAGAAATCCGGAAGTGGTGCTGTGGCTCAAGTGGTAGAGTGCTAGCCTTGTTGTTGTTGTTGTCGGTGGTGGGGCTTGAACTGTGGGCTTGGGCGTTCTCCCTGCGCTCTTCAGCTCAAGGCGAGCACTCTACCATTTGAGCCACAGCACCACTTCCGAGTGCGCTAGCCTTGAGCTGAAGAGCTGAGGGGCAGCACCAGGCCCAGAGTTCAAGCCCCACGACCAAAAACAAAAAAACAAAACCCTAGAGACATCATACTACCTGACTTCATCATATTCTATAAAGATATAATAACAAAAAAAAAGCATGGTACAAGTATTAAAAAGAAAAAAGACATACAAAGCATTGAATCAGAATAGAAGCTCATAAATCAATTCAATTGATACTCAATTGAACTTTTGTGGAAATATAAAGAACAGACAAGTCAGGAAGAAAACCGGAAGTGGCAATGTGGCTCAAATGGTAGAGCACTCTCCTTGAGCTGAAGAGCTGTTCAGGGGCTAGGAATGTAGCTCAATGGTCAAGGTTGTCTTAACATGGGCAAGGCCCTGAGTTCAATCCCCAGTACCAAAGGGAAAAAAAATAACAGGTTGCATGTATGGTTCAAGTAGTAAAGTGCTAAGCCTTGAGCAAAGAAGCCAGAGAACACAAGGCCCAGTAACAACATGTGTGTATGTGCATGGGCACCCACACACACCAGGATGAAGACAGATGTGGCATGTGGTGTCTGAAAACACTGTCCTTATAAAGTAGAAAGGAGAACAGTAGTTATCAAGTGCAGGACAATGCTGACAGGATGTTGGCACAAAAGGTACAAAATTTTAGCTAGAAAAGAGGAATTAATTCAAGAGATCTATTGTAGCATGTGGAGACTACAGTTAATGGGTTGTATGCTTCAAAATTATTCCAAAAGTAGATCTTAAGTGTTTGCAAGATATAAATATGTAAGAAAGCTCAAGGTCAGCACCCAGGCCCTGAGTTCAAGCTCCAGGACTTTCACTCAAAAAAAAAAAAAAAAACCCCAAAAACAAAAACACCAAGTATGTAAGCTAATGCATCTGTTAATCAGCTTGGTTTAATCATGCCAAAATGTGAGTGTGTGTGTATATATATTTCAAAACATATCTACAACTTCAAATAAACTTTTTTTGAAAGGACTGAAAGGTTCTAACAGAATGTTGAGTGTAATTTTCCCTCCTTCACATGCTACTTCAGCCTGGTTGAGCCAGCCTATAACTATCTCAGGGCTAAGGGCTACTTGAACCTTAGATCTCAGCCTCCTGAGTAGCTAGAATTACATGTGTGAGCCCAGCTCTTTAAAGAACTCTTAAGTCAATCCCCTTCTCTCCACCCATACCTGTTCCAAGCCCTAATCATTCCTCATCTAGACACTGCCATCAGCCCCTTCCTAGTCTTTAGCTTTCTCATTCTGCTCCCATGGTCTCCAGTTCAAGCCCAAGTATAATAATTGCTTAACTGAACTGACATAATTGTCTATGTATCTCATTTTCCAGACCCAGTCCTTCTCAGGGCTAGCCCAAGATTTAATTTTTATATCCTGAGGACCCAGGAATAGACAGATATGCATTGCAATAATCAGTTAATAGGTTAATGGATGGATAAAAAGCAAGAAATGAATGGAATGTGGTTTGGTTTAATATAGCTGGCCAAGTAGAGAGATGGATGGATGGATGGATGATGGATAGATAGATGAGAAAATGGATAGATGGATGGATGGGTGAGTGAACAGATAATTAGATAATCAAAAACCTTGCAAATAGATAAAGGAATAAATGAACATACAAGAGATCATGTCTTTTGGAGAACTGTCTCCTCCATCTTCCACCCTTGCTTCTTACTCCCTTTACCTGGTAGCTTCCTGTCGTTTGTGGAAGGTGCGATTAGGGAGGTTGGCAGACAGGAATGTTTCATCATCTCCCAAGGTATGGGCTTTTGCATTCTTATTGGAGGCCCGGAGAGCAGCGTGCAGTGCCTTCCACGTCGGCTTCTGGGAGCCTGGGCACAGAGGAATCAAGTCAAGGGATTGCCTCGTTCCTGGCCTACTGAGCGACCTCACCCCCAGCACCCAGAGGCCAACCCATCACCTTCTGACTCTCCACAGAGGGTCTTAGCTTCCCACCTTCTCTCCCCAGTGTAGCTTCATCGAGAACCCAGCTTTTTGAGGCCCTCACCATTACTGTCCAATTCTTGCTGTAACTGTTTGTGTAGCTTCTCCAGGTCCCAGGGCCCCTCCAAGTCCTTGGGCCTTGACTTTCCCTTCAGCAGCCCTCGGAGGCTGCTGGAGTTGGCACCCTTTTCGTGGCTCTGGCCTTGTAGGTCCCCTTCTTCTAAGGCCTCCTCGGAATTCTCCTTTTTCTTAGAGCTGTCCTTCCTTTCATGGAAGGTTTGAGGCGCCCCCTCTTCAGCCTCTTCTGATATATCTGAGAACTGTTCCTCATCCAAGATGGCGTCTCTCCTGTGGAGCTGGGGCGGTTCCTTAGAGCTCGGAACCTCTTCAGCCTCCTCAACCTCAGAGCTTTCTGACTCTGAGGCCTCCTCATTCTCTTCAGACTCTGATCCTGATTCAGCCTTGTTCTCAGCTTTATCAGGAGGCCGGGGGTCTTCTCCCCATGTTGACAGCCGCTGCTTCCTCTCTGGGTTTTGGGCCTCCATCTTCTGACAGAAGTCAAGGGCCTCTGGGAGGTTGATTGTGGACTTGTGCCTGGACCTGAGCTTGGACATGCCTGATGATAAGGGCCATAGGGATTGTTGGCTAGCAGCCTCAAACGAGTCCTGCTGAAGCAGAGCCAGGCCATCTGTGATGTAGCTCTCCCAGGCCCACTGGAAGGGGAATGAGGGTTTCCTAGCAGGAGAAGGAAAGAGACTGAAGAGGGAGATGGTCAGGGTCAGGGTCCTAGTTAGGGTCCCTCCAGACCCAGCCTTGCTCCCAGCCCATCCTTAGCTGCTTACCCCTTAGAGGAACCTTGACCTTTCTTGTTCCTCCTCCGAGGCTGGCGCTCCTTCTTTGCTGTCTGCCCTGTACTCTGAGATCTCTTCATTCCGTTATAACTCAGCATGACATCACCACCACCCTGTCTATCCTGGGACAGGGGAGGAAGCCAGCTCTGAGCAGCCTTCTGGACCATTCTACCCCTCCCCAGGGACCTTCCCTCCAAGCACCCTGACTGGGCCCTGTTACTTCTAAAAGTGACTGATCACAATGATCATCTTTCATATTAAAACAGCAAGAGCCAGGTGGCAGTGGCTCATGTCTGTAATCCTTGCTACTCAGGAGGCTGAGATTTGAGGATTACAATTTGAAACCATGTCAGGCAAGGAAGTCTGTGAGACCCCTTTTCTCTGAAGTGGAGCTGTGGCTCAAGTGACAGAGTGCAAGAAAAGCTCAGGATAGGTTCAGGCCCAGAGTTCCAGCCCCAGGATTGCCACAAAAACAAGCATACAACAACAACAAACAACAGCAAAATCCACCCCACCAGAACCCCTCTCCAGTGCTTAGGACTTTCAGGTATATGTACCTCCCTAAGGCCATGACCAATGAGATTAGGCCACATCATAGATTCACTATCACATAGGTCCAAAAACTGAGGCTCAGAATATTTCCAGTACAAACAGTTGATAAATATGTAAGGGAAGGAAAATGCTAGTTATCTAAATCCGTCTTAAAGTAATACATTTTCATTCTGTGTCCCATAAACATGTACAATTATATGTCATTTATGTGGATTGTTATTTTTTGTTTTTGTTTTTGGGTCCGGTCATGGGGCCTGAACTCTGGGCCTGGGCGCTGTCCCTCAGCTCAAGGCTAGCACTCTACCACTTGAGCCACAGCACCACTTCCAGCTTTTTTCTTTCTGCTTATGTGGTGCTGAGAAATTGAACCCAGGGCCTCAAGCATGCAAGGCAAGCACTTTACCACTGAGCCACCTTCCCAGCCCCTGTGGATTGGTTTTTTGTTTGTTTGTTGTTTTGGCCAGTCCTGTGGCTTGAACTCAGAGCCTGGGCACTGTCCCTGAGTTTTTGCTCAAGGATAGCGTGCTACCACTTGTGCCACAGTGCCACTTGTGGCCTTTTCTGTTTATGTGGTACGAAGGAATTGAACCCAGGGCTTCATGCATGCTAAGCAAACACTCTACCATTAAGCTACATGCCCAGCCTTCTGTATCATTTTAAATTTTAAAACAGAGAACTTTTTTTAAAAGATTTTTTGTTGTTGTTGACCATGGGGCTTGAACTTGGGGCTTGGGTGCTGTCCCTGAACTCTTTTGCTCAAGGCTAGTGTTCTACCACTTTGAGCCACATTGCCACTTCTGATTTTCGGGTGATTAATTGGAGATGAGAGTCTCATGGACTTTCCTGCTTGGGCTGGCTTTGTATAGTGATCCTCAAATCTCAGCCTCCTGAGTAGCTAGGATTACAGGCATGAGCCACCAACTCCTGTTGGTCAAGAAAAAAAAATCAGGGGGGCTGGGAAGGTAGCTCAGCGGTAGAGTGCATGCCCCTTGCAAGCATGAGGCCCTGGGTTCGATTCCTCAGCACCACATACACAGAAAAATCCGGAAGTAGCTATGTGGTTCAAGTGATATAGCACTACCCTTGAGCTGAAGAGCTGAGGGACAGTGCCCAGACCCAGAGTTCAGACCCCATGACCGGAAAAAAAAAAAAAAAAAGATCCAACTCTTAATACCTGGAGAACCAAGAAAAAAAAAAAAAAATCAGCCAGGTGTCAGTGGCTCCAGCCTATAATCCTAGCTACTCAAGAGACTGAGGTCTGAGGATCCTGGTTCAGAGCCAGCCTAGGCAGGAAAGTCTGTGATACTCTGATTCCAATTAATCATAAAAAAATAAACAAAAACAAAACAACAAAACAGAAGTGGAGCTGTAATTTAAGTGGTAGAGCGCTAGCCTTGAGCACAAAAGGTCAGGGACAGAGTCCAGACCCTGAGGTCAAATTTCAGGACCACTGGCATACACACACACACACAAGAGAAAGCCAGGATTAGTGGCACACATCTGTAATCCCAAACATGGGCCCCCCACCCCCTGCCATATGGGAGAATTTCAAGTTTGAGGCCAACTTGGGCAACTTGTAAGACTAGTTCTACATTTGAGTGTCTCAAGGGCTCTGGACTTGCTAGAGCCAACCCAACAGTACTCTTCCCACAGTCCTTCCCAAATTACTTTTTTTTTTTTTTTTTTTTGTCGGTCGTGGGGCTTGTACTCTGGGCCTGGGTGCTGTCCCTCAGCTCTTCAGCTCAAGGCCAGCGCTCTACCACTTGAGCTACAGCGCCACTTCCGGTTTTCTGGTGGTTTATTG